TCCTAACTGTTCTCGGCTTGTCAAGACATTTGCATCGACCTGCTGAGGGAATAAGTGCCTACATCCGTCTGTCTTGTACCCTTGTCCTGCCAGAACGAGTCCAGAGAGAAGTAGTAGATGAGCGGATCCAGACAGCAGTTGACACTCGCCAGGCACACGAGCGCTAGTATAGTCTCGCCGCAGTTGCTCTCGCTGTACGTCAAGAGTTGTAAAGTAAACGGCAGGAAAAATATAATAAACACCAACATGTTGACTACAAAAATCAGTATCACGTTCATTTTGTTGTTCACCTTGGCCGCTCCGGCGCTGGGACGGTTCCTCAGTACGATTACGACCACGACCGTGGAGACGATATTGACCAGCAGGAGTACTAATAAAAATATCGCCTGAGAGAGCGAGACGACTCGCGAGCTTTTGGAGAGCGCTTGAATCTCAAAGCACGGTATGTTTGGACACCCCTCCAGGGCGCCGTAGAGTCTTATAATCTCTGGGATGCAAAGGATGGTGATGAGGATCCACACCACCGCGCAGGACTTCAACGCGCACCCGGAGGTTCTCAGAGACCGGGAGCGCAGAGGGCAGGCGAGGGCGATCATCCGGTCCACGCTGATCAAAGTGATGAAGATACAGCTCGTTCTGATGTTCACGCGAAACACCATTAAGGCAACGGTGCATGTGGCCGCTCCAAACGGCCACCGGAGCGTTGCGTAAAAGTAGACGCGCAGCGGCAGGGAGAGCGCGAGGAGCAGGTCGGACACCGCGAGGTTCACCATGAGCACGGCGCACGGTGACCGGACCCCGTGAGTGCGCAGCAGGATCCACAGGGACAACGTGTTGAGCGGTAGACCCACGGCCAGGACCAGGCCATAGACCACGGCCGACGCCAGGTACCGGCCCGAAGGTTCGAGATCAGTGGATATGCACGAGTTAGTCCCGTTCGAACACATGTTCACGTTTCTGAGGAGAACGGCGTGCGAAATCACAACGGCTGGGTCGAAGCTGGCCTCTTAGATTCTGATTGACCTCTGAGTGGATTTTAAAGTGGTTTTGAGGGAGCCCAGCGAGTAATGAAACGACGAAAGAGGAAGGATGTAGAAGGTGAGTGAGGGGGGTTCTCCGCCTCTTGAGTGGAGCCTGTTCTATTTCTCACGGTACAGGTTGCTTTGTAATGTCAAATTGAATGGCAAACTTTGTTAACTACAAAAAAATCCACTCTCTATGTCCAGAAAAAAAAGTACAGTTCTCTGACCTCATTTTGACCTTTTGGGACATGTTGTCACACTATGACGTCACATGGGAACCTGCTATATTAAT